GATCAAATCCATCTAATGTCCAAAAATTACTCCTCAAAACTGAAATTTAATGTAAAATCAGGAAATCTCACTAAATCAGAACCTAAACTTGTTTTTGTAGTCCCAACTAATGCATCATAAAAATGAGGTAAATGTTAAATTGAAAAACATTAAAATGAGATTTCATTGTTTATTGAAATAATAATAATAATAATAATAATAAACTAAGCAAATGTTCTGCTTTTATTAGAACTAAAATTATATACAAAACCAAAATACTTTCTTTTTTTTAATTAGAAAAGTGCACCACTCCTATGGGAGTATAACACTAAGGATACATAAACAAGATAAATGATTCAAAGTAAACATAAAATTAGAAAATTCAGTTTTAGTGAAAGCTAAAAAGTAATACTAGAAATTAGAGATTATACTTTTCTTCCATATTTCTTTTCTTCCATATTTTTCTTCCATATTTTTTTCTTCCATATTTTTTGAATTTCTTCCATATTTTTTGAATATAATTGTAAAAGGTATCAAACAGTGTCTTCTGAACAGTGGACATGACCACCTGAAACCATGCATGAAGATTTCTAATTTCAGAATAAGTCTATCTTGATCATAAATTGGACAATGGTAGATCATATGGTCGATGGTATCAAGGTTTCCTGTGGAGCAAAAGCAAAAGGCAGTTTCTGCCCAGTTATACATCGCCAGGTAGCTTCTAAAATTACCATGCTCAGTAAGTAGTTGAGCAGTAGCAAATGTTAAATCTCTAAGTGGTGAAGAGAGAAACCAAAATACTTTTACAAAAGTAAACAATTTATTGAATATATTGGTCCTAAAGTTATTGTTAATTACTGTATTTTATGGCATATAGAATGTACCCCCATTTCAGTACAGAATATTTGGGAAAGTATTCAATGTATTTAATCTCATAAATCATCATGTGCCTTTAAGTACACAGTCTCATAATTTTTTAACCTGTATTCAGGTTAAAAAAGTAAAATTACTGTACTCATATTTATCAGGAAAAACGAGGAGTTTAAAAATAGTAATTCACAATTAAAGTATTCTACATGGATGCACACAAAAAGCTGTAAATAATATTTAATGTATTATTATTAAAATGTTATTGTTCAATTATAGAGATGGGTTAGGTAGAGGTTACCTGTAGCCTAATGAAGGCAATTTGGGAAATTTATTAGCCTATAGGAGATTGCAACTTCACACGATAAGACAGGATGATTATTTGAGCCTGTTTTTTTGGGACAAAAGTTGCATCTTATATGCTATAAAATACAGTAAATATCAGTAAAGATTTTCCTAATTTAATGGAAAATTGCTGTAACAGATTAGAAAAACTTAAAGCAAAAAGCTTTCCCTCAATATCTTCATTCAGACTTGATTAAATACAGTGGGTGATCGGGTAACGAACACTTTCATGAAAGATTTTTATGTTCAGACAACAAACACATGATCGGATAACGAACACCCCACAGAACAAACACAAGAAGCGACATAAAATAATGAATACCAATTGGTGTTTCCTTGTCTTCGGGCAACAATTCGAAACTTTTCGGAATGTGGGAGACATTGACATCGACACTCAAGCTGGTATATACCGATGGGATAGTATTCCTCCGAACTTTGAAACTCTCCCTTGTAATTCCAGCCTTTTATTTTTCTGACAAAACAATTCTGTTATGTATTCGCGAGACTGTCGGGTAGGCACTCGTTAAGTTTTGTGTCTGTTTTTCTTTTCAAAAGGTGAGAGTATAATAGCAAAGGTAGAGAGTGGACAGAATGGCGTGAACAGGTCTACAGTAGGCCGCAGTTCAATCTTATTTAAGAAAAATACTGTATAATCAAGATGACTCAAGCAGCTAAAGGAGTAACAAAAATCACATCTGAGAAATAAAGAACATCGAAGAGTTCATAATGGAACCTAAAACGGATCTGACAACAGAAGAACGCCAAGAAACTTGGAGAGATATGTTTTCTTCTGAAAAAGAGGATTAATGCCGATATATGTTATTAAAGATCCTTTGAAGAAGTGGGAGGATGTCAGAACAATGGTCTTAGAATGGCATCCAAACCAGGTTGAGGCTTGGGGATTTCTACAATTGCAATGCTATTAATTACTTACGAAAAATCCTGAAGAAGAGAGAAAAGCAATCGATATTAGACAGATTCTTTAACCTTTTCAAACGGAAAAAACATGACTAATAAAAATGCAAGACTGTGTATGTATGTATTTTTATTATTACATATAAATAAACGTAGTAAGAAAGTATATATTTTTTATTTTTGGGGTCTCCAGAATGAATTAATTAAATTCCCATTAAAACCTATGGTAAATCGATAATCGGTTAACAAACAATTCAGATAGCGAACAAAGTCTTGGAACTGATTACGTTCATTAACCGATCACCCACTGTACTAAAAAAAACTATTGTTAAAATTTACAAATTAAAAAACAAAAAATCAAATTTCTTTACATTAAAATTTAAAAGTTATCATTTAGTAATCACAAGTTTTTGCATTCCATATACAAATGTATAAAGGAATAACAGAGTCTAGAATATGCATTATGTATTCTTCAGTAAAAAAAAATTGATCCTGTATCATTGCTTAAAGACAAAAAGTACAACAATGAGGACAATTTCTTAAAAATCAGGATATTTCCTATGATCTTTAATCTACTTTTCTTCTAAAAACTAGGGGGAAGAAATATATATATATATCTTATATCTCAGAAGATCTCGCAACCATCCATGTTTTGTGCAGACAGTCCCCTTTTCAAGAATTCTGTCCATGTGTTTGCTCTATTTGTCATTTGTTAATTTTTTCCAATGATTCCAATTTCCATATTCTTACAGTTATTGCTTTTTGGATAAATTTTTTTCATATATACAAATCCACTAATCCTTTTTCTTGTTGTTGCTGCTGTTGATTGTTAATATTCTTCAACTGAGCATTGTAGGCTAAATACTTTTTCTTTGCTGTCAAAGAAACCAAAAGAAAAAATACGCACAACAATTTTTATGATTTTTTTAAGCAAAGGAATAATGCTTAGGAAAAAGTGTTTATGCAACTACATAAGATGAATTGGTGACCCCCACTTGGGATCTCAATTCTACACAGTCAAACCTCAGGTTTCAAACTTAATTCAATCTTAAAAGTTGTTTGAAAATTGACATGTTCTAAAACCAAAACAAATTTTCCTCATAAGAAACAATATGAAATGGATTAATACATTCTCAACACCAAAACAACCTTTTTTTTTTTTACCTTTATATCTGTATTTAATGCATAAAAATGCCTATAAAGGCAATATATTATTATTTTATCTATTCATTCCATATATATGTGTGTGTATTATACTGTGTGGGTGATCAGTTAACAAACAGTTCGGATAACAAACACTTTCACAAAAGATTTTTATGTTTGGACAACGAACACCTCACTGAACAAACATGAGAAGTGACGTAAAATAATGAATACCGATTGGTCTTCCCTTGTCTTCGGGCAACAATTCGAAACTTTTTGGAACACAGGAGATATCAACATTGATGCTCAACCTGGTATATACTGAACAGATAGTATTCCTACAAACTTTTAATCTCCTTGTAATTCCAGCCTTTTATTTTTCTGACAAACAATTCTTTTATAGTATTCGCGAGACTGTCAGGTAGGCACTCATTAAGTTTTGCATCGGTTTTTACTTTCAAAAGGTAAGAGTATAATAGCAAAGATAGAGAGTGGGTAGAAGATGTCTGATATTGCTAGGCAGTATGGCTTGAACAGGTCTACAGCAGGCTGCATTTCAATCTTATCTAAGAAAGATACAGTATAATCAAAAAGACTCAAGCAGATTAAGGAGTAACAAAAATCACATCTATGAGAGTGTGGACCTGATGAATTTTGAGAGAAAATTCATTTTTTGTCTTTTGAAAAATTTTTCCCATTTTTATTACCGGAGAATGATCGCATCTCTCTCTCCGAAGTTGTTTCTTTTCCCAAGGAACTCATGAAATGTGTTGCTGGGAACTAAGAGCAAAAATTCCTGATTGGTGAAAAAGGATAACGTGATTTGGAGGTATAATAGGAGTGACTCAAGGACAAGGGGTTGTTGAGAGTTCGCGAGTGCATCAACCAAGTGCCCTGAAAAAAAAAGGAGAGGTATACTTGTCATCCAGGCTATCAAGGATTTCATACTGTGTTTTTTTGACACCTTCGAACTCCCTGGATTATTATATCCTCCAGTTTTCCATTGGTTTGACCGCCGTCCAAGGAAAAGAAAAATGAACACCTCCCCAACCACTCCAACTGGCCAAAAGTCAGCGATCCAGAAATCCACACAATTAAGTGCATCAAAAGTATCTATACCAACTTGCAGTTTCTTGTAAACTCTCTCTCTCTCTACCATTATTCAACAACATAGAGCTATGTATTTCTTTTTTGTTGAATTAAATCAGTTATTTTAGTTGTTAATTAACCTTGTATCCGAGTGATTCACTTCCGATCCGTCTCTCAATCCTCCGATTGCCTGCGCACATGACCACTCATGCGAATTCCAAATTTGCGGCCATTAAGGTTTCTGTGTCTAACCTAGAAGACATAGTGTTGTCAGTCCTGACAAGGCACTAAAGAGGTGCCGACCCTCTGGTCACACATCTGAGAAATATTGATAAAGGTGATGGTATTCAGGAATTTGCCTATGCTGACGACACAATAGTAATCATGGGAGCTAACTCAAGAAGGCAAATCGAAACGAAAAGCAATCGAGTTCTAGAAACAATATTGGAAAAGGGGAAACAGCTGAAGCTGTTCTTCAACCCCAAGAAGACCAAAGCTATAGTGTTTACTAAAGGTACCACATGTGATTTATACAAACGCATGCCATCAATTAAAATGGATGGACAGGTGATCAAAGTTGAAAAAGAACTAACATATCTGGGGGTGGTCCTTGATCACCGCCTAACGTGCGTGGCTTCCACATGTGACCATAATAAGGACTGCTTGCACCAACATCTTCAATGCCTTAGCTAGGGTGGCCCGCTCTTGTTGGGGCCTTAGCACTGAAGCTATACATTTTATTTATAAAGGTGTTTTTATACCAAAAATGGCTTATGCTGCAGGAACATGGTACACAGCAGCAGAAAAAGGTGTTATTAAACGAAAATTGTTAAGTGCACAAAGGATTGCACTCCTCAGGATTACAAAGGCATTCCGTACAACCTCAACGGATGCACTTTTAGTAATTGCGGGCGAACCACCAATAGATCTAATTATTAAAGAACAAGCACTGAAATACATGTGTAGACAAGGGCTACCAATTACTATAAATGGAATACCATACGATGGTATGCTATACGAACGAAAACCAAGTGCTAAAGCACTACCAAAACCATATGAAAGGGGAGCAATTGGGATTGCCGAAGAGGCCGAAATAGCCGATACCAATGTTTTTACTGATGGTTCAAGAATAGAAGATCGAGTAGGAGCATCCTACACTGTGTTTACACACGGAACAGAAATCCATCAAGGACAATATAGACTAGCAGATCACTGCTCAGTTTTTCAAGCGGAGCTTTTTGCCATATTAATGGCAGTAAAATGGTGCATATCTTCTAGCCTAACTAGCAGTTTTATAATACACACTGACAGCAGAGCAGCCATCCAAGCGATGCAACAATATATTGACACCAGCCAGCTGTCTATAGAAATAAAGACACTTATAAGGGAAAACAAGAGTAACATTAAAGTGAGATGGGTTAAGGCCCATGTAGGAATTATGGGCAATGAGAGGGCGGATGCCCTGGCGAAGGGTGCCATTGAATTCACAGAGATTGCATATGGGAAAATCCCATTGTCTTTCATCAAAAAGCAACTAAGGCAGCAGACCATAGAAGAATGGCAGGAGAGATGGACGTATAGTGAGAAAGGTCGTTACACATACTGGCTGCTACCCAGTATTGAGGAGAGAATAAAAGATCTTAAATGGCTGCCAGTGGATTTTCTGAGGACTCAACTCTACTCCAATCACTGCAACACTAAAGAGTACTTGAATAGAATAGGGAAAGATCAGGAAAGTATTTGTGATTGTGAAGATGACATAGAGAGCCTTGAACATCTACTGACAACATGCATTAAGTATGAAAATGAAAGGATGCAATTACACCTAGTTGCTGCACAGACATTTAATACAGACTGTACAGATCTATACATGCTGATCCGGAATAAGGATATTATCCAAGATCTAAAGAACTTTACGCGAAGTATACTGTCAAAGAGTTGAGGAGCGAGTTGCTCCCACTCTATCAAGCGGCAAGTGGCCGCAATAATTGTAATGGCAAGCTGCATTGCGATTATACATGCTTTACCTATTTCTTTTTATTGTTTAAATTGACTTAATGTAAATTATGATTTATGAATAAAGAAAGCGTTCCCCCTTGTGGTGCTATTTGCGGGACAAGGGTGACTCTGATCCCTGTATAGGGAAATGATGACCATCCAATGAAAAAAACAAAAAAAACATCTGAGAAATAAAGAACATTGAAGAGCTCATAATGAAATCTTAAACTGATCTGACAACAGAATGCCAAGAACTCTTGAATGAAGAACATCAAGAAACTTGGCGAAATATGTTTTCTTCTGAAAAAGAAGATTAATGCTGATATCTGTCTTAAACATTTATTGAAGTGAGAGGATGTCAGGATAATGGTCTTAGAATGGCATCCAAACCAGGTTGAAGTAAATAAGCTTGGGGATCGCTACAATTACAATGCTATTAATTACTTCTGAAAAATCCTGAAAAAGAGAGAAAAGCAATAGACATTAGACAGATTCTTTAACCTTCACAAACAGAAAAAACATGATTAATAAAAATGCAAGACTGTGTATATATGTATTTTTATTGTTGCATATAAATAAATGTAGTAAGAAAGTATATATTTTTTATTTTTTGGTCTCCAAAACGAATTACTCAATTCTCATAAAAACCTGTGATAAATCAATAATTGGTTAACAAACAATTCAGATAGTGAACAAAATCTTGGAACAGATTATGTTCATTAACTGATCACACACTGTATTATTTTTAGTTTTAATTAATTGGCTACCTAGTATAAATATTAATATTATAACATATAATAATATATTAATAAATTTTTGTCATTTAATTTAAGCATATTTAAACATAAATTCTTGAATGCCATTTATATTATATGAATGCCAATTAATGCAGTTTTTATTAATTAATTTGATTTAAATTTAACTGTGGCACATACTGAAAAATGAAAACAAGATGTTTCCTGTATGTGCATTGAAATGTAATTTAAATAAGATCATCAATGATTCATATCAGATGCAAGGCAATCTTGGCACTACTAACTTCTGAATCCTATCGTTGTCCTATCATTGATTGGTCAGGTTTTTTACTTTCTTTAACGTAGCAAGTATAGGAAGTTTACCATCAGCGGCTGGCTCTGCCAAGTAGCTTGATTGGCAATGAAGTTATTGTATCAGCAACTGGAGCAAAAATGAGTTCAAAATTTTGTTTGTAAACTGAATTGTTCAAAAAGCAAGATGTTCAAAACCCAAGATTTGACTGTATTTAGGGGAGTCACTGTTCTACACTATTCTGTGTTAATATAACGAGTGCAAAATGATCAATAGTATAAAACAGATGCAATAAAATAATCTTGTATCTTATTTAATAATTTATTTTTCCACTTCTGTACATCTTGCACTAAAGGATTCCATCAAAGTTATCAAAACTATTGAATACTATATTTTGATTAAAACTTTGATTGTCAGCTTTTTTGGCTGTGATTTTAGCTTTTTTCAAAATCATAGGTTGAAAGCTCTATATATATATCAAAATTAAATGATTACTAGATTAAATTGGCCCAATTTAATCTGGTAATCATTTGGCTTTATATATATAACAATGGAAATATGTTATGAATACCTGAAAAAAGATAGGGGAGAAAACACCTATTAAAAAAATGGAAGGATTGTGTAATCAAAAGATTTGAAACACTTAATATGAATGATATGGTAGTGAAAAGAACAAAGCAGAGATGTATTTTCTGCAGCAAAAATACAAAATAAACTAATAATGCCAAAAAGGAAGATTATGTATGGGATAATGGAATAATAATAATTATTGCAAAATAAATATTTTATTAAAAAGTAAAAAAATTTAATAGATTATCTTTGTTATCCATCTAATATTCTTGAATATGAATTTCACAAGATCATTTCTCATTTAAACCTTCTCTTACACATCTTACAATTTTTTGCTATATTACCTAAAACTTCTATGTTTACTTTTTTTCTTGTTTAGTGTATCTTTAATTTTATTAATCCATTTATATCTCATTCTTCCTATTCTTATCTTTCACTTTCAATTCAAGATCACTATGTTTAAAATTAACTCTCTTGTCTGCAGTTTATAGTCTTTCATAAATTTTGTCTTTTCACATTTAACTATTTCTCCTTCATATGTAAAATGGGACAAAGCTGTTTTAAAGGCAGAGTTTGTTTTACTAATTTCCTTTTTTATTAAAAATAATTTTTAATACAGTTGGAGCTGTAGAATCTTATCAGTTCAGTCTGTTATTTTATCTTCTATAACACCTCTTGCCAAAAACAGTACCTACATAAGGAAACTTACATACCTATTCCAAATGCTACTTGCCCAAGCAAAAAGTAACATTTCTTTAGTATGTTCTATTTTTATAATCTGTGTCAGAGATGATAATTTTCACTTTGAGAGAATATTAAATCATCTTGTAATGTTTTTTTTTATTACTACATAAGGAAAATATATTTAAGGCTAGTTGTTGACATGTAATTTTTAGTTGACCAACTGTTTATTTGCATGAGTACATCTAAGAACTGCATTCACATGCAACAGTTGGCAGTTTATTTAATTTGTATTGTAGCTCAAATGGAATGATTGTGTAACTGTGATATGAACTGTATGTTTAAACATCATGTCCACACTTCCAACTAAACAGTTGGATAACTCAGTTAAATTTTGGTGTTTGTTGTAGTAGTGTGTTGGGATGTCTTCACAAAGAGGTAAGAAGAAGCAAATTTATAATATTTAATATATTTTTTTTAAAATTATGTTGTAAGATATTTTATGAATAAGTCATTTTGTGAATTTGTACAGTATATTTCTATTAACTGACATTTGAGAGCATTATTATTTAATAATGTGCATGTTTGCATATTTTTTTTAGGAATTGAAATTAATGATGACTGGACTGAAAGATTAATTCATGCAGTACAAAGTAAACCTGTCATTCATGACAAAAGTCTGAAAAAACATTTAGACCCAAACATGATTAACTAACTGTGAATAGAAGTTTGTGAGTCAATGTAGATTTGTGGAATGATATGACACAAGAAAAGTGCAAAAAGTAAGATATAAATAATTTTATTGTAAGTCATATTTTTTCATATTTCCATGGAACAGAATCTTTAGGTGATATGAAATATTTTGCAAAATAATCTAAGTTGCTATTCCTTCATGAGAACTGTACATTGGTAGGATTAATATCAGGATCAGAGTTACCACTTTTTGGTTTTAAAACCCAGATCTGGGTTTTTTGACCTTCTCTTGGTTTCGAGGTTGTTTTTTCTAATTTTTATAAAATATGGGTTTTTTAAATTTGATGGTTTTTTTTAATTTTGATTTAAATTTGATGATTTTTAAATTTGAAATTTAAATTTAAAATATGGGTTTTTTAAAATGACTTAAATAATAATAAAAAAATTAGATTTTAGAAACAAAAACAAAAAGCATGGTACTTTATTTGCTAAATTCTGAATCACGTGGAGTTAAAAACACTCAGATACACTTAAGCACCTGCTCAAGCTATGAAATCATATCCCACAATGATTTGCTATCATGACACAAACAGCAACATCTTAACTCCAGCTACTTAATTAAAAACTGGATGGCTTACGTGTATTTTGAAATTAAAATGTATTGCTTTATGCAATAATGTTTGTAGCATTGTGGTTTGAAAATGTATAAAGTAATAATATTTTTTATTCTTAAATATGGGCATGATATATATATGTTGTATATTTTGAAAATGTACAGTACATTGTAAGTTTGTATATGAAGTGGTGTAAGTTTTAGAACAAAAGTTTTAGGAGAATTAAAATGATGGCAGCTAAATGTGTTGCATTTATTCTATTAATTCTTAAATGTGAATAATTAATACAGTATTTAATAAGTGTAACTTACCTACAACACAATGTTAGTATTCTAAATTTTAAGTAATGGACTTATTGAGTCTAATACTGTATATAAATTATCTGTGGCAATTATGGGTTCGGCCAGGCCCACAATGGGGCAGCCGGGTGTTGAGGGATATGTTGGCTTCCATCCCTCACCACCCGGCGCCCATTGTGGGCCTGGTCGAACCCATAATGGGCTTGCTGTAAGAGGCCCTCTTATTGCCCACAGGACAGAAAGAGTTAAAAAAAGAAAAGACTGTGGTGGTAGCAGTTGGCTCAATAATTAGCTATTTTGGGCCAATTTTTTAGTAATAATTGGCTACAAAAGCTAAAAAGTATTGGCAACACTGAAATTGACATAGTTTTAGTCTAGAGGGTTTTGCCACATGTTAATTAAGCAACAAAGAATTTTATATAAGCCAGACTTATATCTCGTTTTGGACTTTGATTTTCATTCAATTAATCACAATAATTTTATATACTTCCAAGTTTTAAACTCATTAGTATCACCTCATTAAATAATTTATAACAACATTTGCAGCTAATACTGGTCAGTTATTTTCAGAGGTAAGAAATCTAGCTCAATTTTTTTTCCAAATTAACTTTTTGCTTTATATATTAGGTTAAACATGAGTGATAATGAAATGCTACCGATACACCAGCAAAAAAAAGCCTGGTATACACCAAAATTTCAAGAAAATTGGCTTCAGAATCCCATGTTTAAAGATTGGCTACGACGTGACAAAACAGACAAAAACTCGCACTTTTGTATTTGTTGTAACACAATGCTGAAAAATGCTAACAAGTCAATGATTGAGACAAATATGAAAAGACCTATGCATAGGAAAGCTTTTGAAGCTGCCAGAGCGAAAACAGTTAAAACAATTGAATGTATATTCAAAAAAAAAAAAGAAACTCTCAGCTAATGAAGAAACTACGAAGGCAGAATTGCTGATAGCAGCATACTTTGCTGAGCATAATGTGCCTTTTTAGCAATGTAGATCATCTCATAGATGTTTGCAGGAAGGCCTTTCCAGATAGTCAAATTGCAAAATCTATTCAGATGAAACATACCAAATTGTCATATTTAATGCAAGATGGCATTGTTTATTATGAAAAACTGAAAATTGAAGACATATGCAAGAAACAAAAATTTTCTATGATAATTGACGAGAGCACCGATATTTCAGTCTCACAAACTTTGGCTATCGCTGTTCATTTCTTTGATCATAAAAGAAATGATGTAAAAGATGTTCTTTTCAA